GTATTGGATAAGCCTACCCTGGGATGTACCAGCACTATTGGGTAAGTTCTTTTTGTAGGTTCTTCTCCTTAATGGGAATAAAACAAAGAGATGACTTTAGAGTTGCCAGGACTTTCATTGGGATAATGGGAACATGCATGTGTAGGCTAGATACCTTATTTGGTAGCTGTGTGTATTAAGAGAGAGAGAAAAAAGAAACTAAAAGGAAAAAAATCAGAAAGATACATTCCTTTAAGTATACTAGCTTGAAATCTATAAACCAAGTTCCTGATATTCTGGTCAAAGGCAGACACTTTCGTCAGACCAAGTAACTATTAATGCACCAACAACAGGACACAGCCAATAAGGTCTTTTGCAAAAAAACTGTCTTAAGCCAAAGGAAACAAGGATTGTTCTCTCTCTCTCTCTCTCTCTCTCTCTCTCTCTCTCTCTCTCTCTCTCTCTCTCTCTCTCTCTCTCTCTCTCTCTTTCTGTGTGTGTGTGTGTGTGTGTGATGGAATTTTGCTCTGTCATCCAGGCTGGAATGCAATGGCTCAGTCTTGGCTCACTGCAAACTCCACCTCCCAGCTTCAAGCAACTCTCCTGCCTCAGCCTCCTGAGTAGCTAGGATTACAGGCGACCACCACCACACCCGGCTAATTTTTGTATTTTTAGTAGAGACTGACCATGTTGGCCAGTCTCAAACTCCTGACCTCAGATGATAATCCCGCCTCAGCCTCCCAAAGTGCTGGGATTACAGGCATGAGCCACCACACTTGGCCACAGGATTGTTCTAAAATTTAACCTTAGGTTCCTGAATACTGAAGTATGCCAAAAGGTGGACTCAAGCTTTGAAGGTGTACAATAGGTGTTAGTTACTGAGTTCTGATAAACAGAGCTGTAAGCATTTCAGGTGTGGAAATGATGGAAGGAATCCGCCTTGGGTTGTGATTATTTGAACAAAGTAAAATCAACAAACACCACTCAGGCTGTAAGTAAGTTTCCTGCTGTGCCAGTTTTGTAATAAAGGTGCTTTTCTTTTCAGCTGAACTTTCCATTGACTTAAATCATTTATTTCCCTGGAGGTAATTTAAGCACACTGCTAATGAAATAGTTTACTGTGTTTATATTTTTAAAAAGGAAGAAGTTTGGTAGCACACTGTTTCATTAATTCAAATATGAATATGCCTGAAAATATTCCTAATATTCTGGAACATCCCTCTGATCAGAAGACCTGAATGGCAGACCTGAGTGACCTATAGAGAACCAAACAAGGAAAAATCACACAGAGGTAAAAAGAAGTTCTAATTTATTTGGAAACATTTCATTAATCTGCTTGTTAGAACTGTAAGCATCAGTTTGTAACTATAACAGAGAAATAGCTTAATATTAATCTGTGTAACAAATGTCACTTAGAATCAACACTTTTTTCCCTTCTGACCATATAATTGTTACAACAAAGCAAGTCTTCAGAGTAGGTGACCATGTATCACTTATTAACAGCGAGGAGGGAACTCCTTTTCCAAAGTGGTTCATTCTCTATTTATTATGGGATCTCAAATTGTAACACTGGAGATTTATTTCTTAGATCACGAATGTCTTTTGTTCATTGAGAAGAATACACTTTTAAGTACAAATACCCATGGGATGAGTGGCTCATTAAGTATTATACTGTGTGTGTGTGTGTGTGTGTGTGTGTGTGTGTGTGTATTTTATTTTATCTTTTTAATTTTTGAGATGAAGTCTCACTTTGTCCACCAGGCCAGTGTACAGTGGTGAGATCTCAACTCACTGCAACCTCTGTCTCCCAGGTTTAAGTGTTCTCCTGCCTCAGCCTCCAGAGTAGCTGGAATTACAGGAGCCCACCACCATATTCAGCTAATTTTTGTATTTTTAGTAGAGACAGAGTTTCTCCATGTTAGCCAGGCTGGTCTGGAACTCCTGACCTCAGGTGATCCAACCACCTCGGCCTCCCAAAGTGCTGGGATTACAGGTGTGGACCACTGCACCTGGCCTACACTATGACTTAACTTGACCACTAGCTGAGGGTATATTGGAGATGTTGTTGTTTTTTTAAAAAAATTTAGTTTATTTCATTTTATTTTTTAAGATAGAGTCTTGCTCTTTCACCAAGGCTGAAGTGCAGTGGCACGATCTCAACTCACTGCAACCTCTCTGCCTCCCAGGTTCAAGCAATTCTCATGCCTCTGCTTCCCAAGTAGCTGGGATTACAGGTATGCACCACCACACCAGGCTAGGAGATATTTGTTTTGCCTAACGCTCCTTTCCAGTAATGAGATATCCTTTTAAGAAAGTGGATTTCTCCTAATCCAGCTCTGTGCTTTTGGTGGGAGCTGCCAGCTGGAGCATTCTCCTTCCCCACCTTTACTTCTCTCTGCCCTGCCACCCAGTAGTGGCGACATGACCACAGTTTGTCCAACCTTATTTCCTCAGCCCTGGCCACAAAGACTGGTTCATATCCACAGATGGGTACCCAACCTAAGCCAGGACTGAGTTCTTTCTTGCACTTTTTCCAACTAGGGTTAGTGGAAAAATGCTTTCTTTCTTCTCTGGAGATTATATGATAAGGAGGGCAGCCCATAGCTGCCTGTGGCCCTAATTTCATTCTCTTCGGACATCTAGCCTCAAAGAATGAAGTCTCAATGCAGAGAGAAGCAGAGATGAGTGACACAGAGTTTCCTGATGGTACTTTAGACTGGAATCCATCTGACTCTAAGGCTAGTGCAATGCTGTCTCTTGGTTTGTTTACATGTGCGGATAAACCACCCTTTCTCCTTAAGCTATTATGACTGGAGCATCTGTCATTTGCAAACAGAGGTCTGAGAACCCAAAACAAACATTTTACAAGATAATCAGGGGAGTGGTGGTGTTCTAGGTCCAGAACTATGCGTGTGTGGGTGGGTCAGCCCTAATTGTTCTGTGGTTAGTTAGGGGTCATTGTGTGTTAAAGTTACTGGACATCTTTTCAGACTTTATTCTGAAGTGAATTGAGAGGCCAAGGTGACCAAGCTTTCTGAGAATGCCAGTTAGTATTATGCTGGGGCCACAATGGCCTTGACAATCTTCTGGACTATTGAATTTGGGTGAGGCTGCAAGGAGCCTATGAAAAAGCAAGCATGTGCAAGTATTTGATTTAGCATCTTAGTGCTACATGTCAGTCAACTGACTCAGTTTCACCGCTAAACAAGAGAAGCAACATGCAAGCCTAAAGAGAATCACTGTTTTGATCCATAATGGATCTTACAGTGACTGGCTTTATTTACATTTTAAATTGATATCTGTTCATAGATATCTGTGTTTTTCTATACAGGTAGTTAAAAAAAAAATAAAGAGAATGAATGGGCAAAAAAGGGTAGAATTTAATGTTCTCTTCTCTCCCCCAAGTCATTTGAATCCTAGGCCTCAGTATTATTTAAATTTTGCCTTATCAAAATATCCAAGAGACAAATTGCCATTAGACAGTAAATAACATTGAAAAAAATGAAACTAACAAGAATTAGATACCTTGCAATTATGCTTTTTTTTGCATCAGGTTTAAAATGCAGTTGCAAAGTTGAAAGCTTCTCTTAAGTGAGCTGGGGAACTTTCTCCAATGTGCTCTACAAACACTGTCAGTTCCTTCTAATGAAACCAGTGGAAAATCTGGGTGATGCCTCAGAATAAGGACTTTTAAATAGACAATATTCTCTAATGGATTTTATTCTTTTAGGTTTCAATGTTGGTAAAGCAAATTTACAAACTGCCTTTATGTTGTTTTATTGAAAGAAAATACAGTGTTTCAAGTTCACAGTGTTACATGCCATTTTAATCCTGGGAAAGCACTATTCAAAATTGAAAATGAAAACCAAATTCATATGAAAAGCTTCACCATGTAGTCAGGGTGCTGGGAGTGTCCCTTTTCTGAAACTACCACATCACTTGCTTCCCCTCCTCCATTTGATTCCACATTGCTCCTCTTCTTCCAGAATTACTTATGAGTAATAAAGGAAGCCAGAGTAAGAACAATAACATGTTCCTGGCTTTGCAAGAGTGGCAGACATCAAAGGAAGACGTTTTTCCCAGGGAACCGCAGCTTTGCAAGAGATTGACCAGGCAGGAATGAAGTTTGATATTACTGGGACATAGCAGAGGAAATGTCCTGAGTCTCCCAAAGCGGGAAGAGGCACACTGGGGTATAGTCAGCTGCTGCTCTAGAGGCTGACTATCCAAGTGTTGCTTACACAGGTCTAACCTGTGGCAAGGTAATGAACATCTCTAAGCCTCTGCTTAGCGTTAGGGAATTTGTAAGTGTACTAACCTCAGAAGTTATTCTGAGAGTTAAATAGACACGGAATGCTTAGCAAAATACATGGCCCATAGTACTATATTACATGTTAACTAGTATTCTTGCTAAACTAACAGTCTGAGACTTGGGTTTTTTTGTTTATTGTTTGTTTGTTGCCTAATGGTGTGTTTACAGTTTCCTAGTCGGAGAAGTCTTTTTTAAAAAATCGAAACCAATGTGGCTATTAACAATTTTCTGAACTACCCAGATTTCATCTCGTGCCAGACTTCCCTGCTTGTTTCTGGTTCATTGCCTATGTGTTTTTTTTTTTTAAAGATTCTCTTTTCTTCCCCATGCCCTCCTCTGTCAGCCTGTGTTTTCAGACAGCTCCGTCTTGCTGCAGAGCCCAGTCCCTGCAGGTGCCTGCCTTCGTTCTTAGGCCCTGCCCTCCCCTTACTACCAGGAGCTTGTCCGGTGACACTTCTCAGATCTATTTCAGTCCAGCTCCTCAGCCTCAAAGACTTTCCCTTTATGAGCAAACAGCTTATTCATTCCCTGCCCCTCTCCAGGTGAATGTGAATCCAGCCTGGAGTTAGTAGTTCATGTGCTGTCTCTATTGGTGCCACACAGAGGTCAGGCCAGGCCTATGGCCTCAATTTTTGTTTCGTTGACAATACCACTGCATACATCACCCAGTGGATGGGCCAATGTAGATCTGTCACGTGGTAATACTGACCTCTAGGGGCTGACTTTCCTTCACATAGACTCTTTATCTTCTCATTGAGTTCCAGGACTGTGATGGCAGCCTCTTGCTTAACTGTTGCCACATCAGTTCGCAGCTTTTGCACTTTCTTTTTGTGCTTTAGTTTCTTTAAAAATAATAATAATAATAACAGTTTCCATCATGAGGGACAGACACATCAAAGGAATCAAAGGAATTAATGATGTTTGAACCAACACTGCCTTTGAAGTCTGCTTAGATCAAACACTCCCTGTTTATCTAGACTGAGTTCTGTTTGAGGTTTGTGAAACAGTGTATGCACTCCTGTCAGAGCATTTGAATCCCCAACAAAAAAAGCCCGCTGTCTACCTCATAGTACCTTTTACCCTCTTGAAGAGTTTTTATCTGGGTCAGAACCCTGTTGCTTATAAAAGAGGCTGTTAGAAAAGAACTCTACTTGCCAGTTGGCATTTCCCACTGAGGTGCTAATGCCTGCTAGTATCGGGGTTTTTTTTTCCCAATCTGTAGGTAGACTCATGTGAAATAGTCAGAGCTTTGATTCTAAGTCATTCCTCCCCAATACTATAATGGTTTGCTTTCAAACAAACTCTAAAGTGTGTAATGCGACCACCAAATGCTGATGTTTTCCAATATTTAACAAGGGATCCATATGGGGAAAATGTCAAGAAAGGGTCAAGCATAAGAATGGTTTTTAAGCAGTAGTGAACAGGAAATGCTTTGCTATAAAATAATTTGATTTATGAGATCGAAATCTTTGGGAGAACTGCATTAGGAACTTGTTACATAACCAAAGGATTCACCTCAAACTTCATGACTCGAAAGTTCCTTCTAGGGTTTCAAAGTAGATTTAATTTGATAAAATTGGGTTTATCTGCAACTTCAGAGAAGCTGTCTGTTGTGAAAAGTGCTGCATTTGCACTTTCGTGTTGCTTTTGTGTAACTACCTTTCCACTGAAAAGCTCACCTTGCCAAGTCTGTGTGGGTTGGTAATTAGGAAGCCCAGAAAATAATCTACTAACATTTCTTATCAGACATAAATCTTGATATAGGAAAGGGATGGTTTTTGCCACTAGGGAAGGCCTCTGAAGGCAGTATACTCAGACAACAGGAAACCACTCTTCTTGAGAGTAACACCAGTAAAATCAATTTATCAAAAATGGGCTTAAATAGAAACAGGCCTTTCATTTCAAATCCCTTCATTTCACTTTTTGCTTTGCTGCCAGTACAACTATATATGTCGCCCAGAAGATTTATGAGAGCTAAACTTTTGAGAGATCATCCAGATCAGGTTGTCTTCCAGACCCAAAACAAGAAGATCAGGACTTCACTAAAGCTTAGTTAATGGCATAAACGTGACTAAAAGAAATGTTACTCAAAGGGGAATGCTAGTCATGGAACTTCTTTACGGGGAGGTGAAGGGTAGAATTTGGTAGGGTTCAGCCAGCAGAATCCAGGTGACAGGTGCCCTGAGCCACAACCCAGATGCCTGGTTTCATGGCAGTACTTGTAAAGAGGTAGTACTGATTATTAGGAGGCATCCACTCTGGGTGTCAGGCATGGTGCTGGCCAGCTGTTGAAATACGAAGGCTGATAAAGTCTCTGTCTCCAAGCCATGAAGACCTTCTAATTCCCCTCTTCTGAGCCTCTATTTGCTAAAAGCCTTCATAATTTGGCTTGTCATATAGATTAGTTCAGGAGAGACTGAGCTGACCAAGAAATATGTCTGGATATTTAACAGCAGGACAGCTGTGTTTCTCAATTATTAAGCTGGCATAATAACATATAATTTCATCTCTTGTGAGTTGGTTTGGGTCAGCTTGTTCATGAGGTCCTCATCTGTCCCAGGCCTGCGGTGACAGCACCTTGTGAGGCCCTGGATGGCCACCATGACCTTTCCTACTCAAAACTGTTTCATGCTCAAATTCCTACACTTTCTTTTTACCAGTTAGAACTCTGGAGATATAGAGTAGGAGGAAGGGCGCAGAAATGAAAATTGGAAAAGTGGAGAGAATGAGGGAAAATAAGGCAAGACGGATTGTGAAAGGAGTGCTAGAAAGTGTCCAGAAAGAACTAACAGTGATATGCATGCTGAAATATTAAGGACTGGGTGTGCTGATGAGAGCAAACTGCACTGAATGCGTAAATAAGACAGTTTGACAGAGAAACATAGATACACGATAAACCAAAGATAGTAAAATGTTCCCTGTAGAATCTAGTTGTTGAGTTATATGGTGTTTACTATATAATTATTTCAACTTTTTTGTATGTTTGCAATCTTTCTTTATAAGATATTGGGGAGAAAGAACTGAAGATTTAGCTTCCTTACATTGCCCCTCCCTTAATTCTTAATAAATGGTATTCAAATTCTCAAATCATGTCACAACTCTTCATATGCAGATATTTATTTTTTTCTCAAAGTATGCATTGACAGTAAATAAACACAAGAAAAAATAAATGCAGTGATGTGAGAATTAGTGAACTGTCACTAGGAGCTGGCATGGTGTCTGTCACTAAGAAAAAGTCTTACCAAGCTACATTTTCATTTTGATGGAATAACTTGATGGCTAGAATGTGGGAACTCAATGGACAGACACAGGGTTTCTCAGTATCAGTTAAGAATTTCAGCTTTCTAGGTATAAATTTTAACTCCTTTTAAAAAAATATTCAATTACCAGACCCCTTTGCTCTCTGTCTTTTATGGTGACTGTATGTTCTGTCCCTGTATATTTTTACCTTATTATCTGAGAAAGAAATTAAGACTATGTAGTTTGGAGAAGACATTACATACACAGGGCAGTCATGGCAGTTGACTTTAGTTACAAGGGACTATTCAAGAGGAGAGGAAGTTGAGTCCAACAATGTTGTTCTCAAGAAACCATGAAGAACAATGGGTAGAAACCATGAGGAGGCAGATGCTGGCACAATATGAGAAAGCACCTCCAACCACCAGAACAGGATAGGATGCATCCTGGCAAAGACCTTCTGCTCTGGGAAAGATGAAGCAGGGACCGGATGGACATCTTCAGGCAGGCCCCTAATGACCTGTGGGACCTGGGTTGAAAGGTCATTGGAAGTTCGACCTACCTCAACTCTTTCCACTTCTTGCTTTCTCCAGCTCCCCAGGGGCACAGCCCATAAGTGAATGGACATCTCAGCTCTCAAAGCCTCCAGGGTTGGTATAGCTGGTACATTTAAAGATAATTCTGGTATTTGTGAGAAGTTGGATAAGAAGGCCAAGAAAGCCTGTGGGTCCCTTAGAATTCAAGAATAATGTGACTCAAAATGTACAAACTTTATTATTTAGCTATAAAAGAGAGGAAAATGAAATTTAAATTAAAAATTGGGTAAACGACAGATTGGTTGTCTAAGGTTTCTATTGAGAACTTTTGATTACTCAGACACATTTAAAAATAGTTCAACATCTTCATCTTTTTTTCTTCTTTTCTCCAGAAAGAACTCTGTATGCTATTAATTCATAGCTTTAACCAAGCCCTTTGGGCACTTCGAATAATTCAATTTGCCAACATGTTTTTTATTAGTCATAGACATCAAATGATTTCAGCAACAGTAATATTTTCCTCGCTGTTTGGTGTTCATTAGTCAGGCAACCCAAATGTTGTATTTGAATCTAATGCAGTCTGTTATGGTCTCCTTAGTAACTAGGAATTCTCTTTGGTAATTACTGAAAGGATAGGAAGGCTTTATAGCTTGGAGGTAAATTCCTATTACTGTGCTCTTTTCCTACTTCTCCTACTGGGTGGAAAGAGGGAGGAAATCATGTATTTGTGCAATGTTTTGAAAAGGAAATATCTATTCATATCGTATTGCTGAATGGCTTGCATGATTCCAGTCAATGAGAATTAGAAATAACCAGGGAACTATTCATAGAAGATCGTCAGCACAAAGTTGCCAGCACTTTGTTTAAAATTTCTGGGTATTTCCACATACTTTAAACTGTGGCAATTACCCAATCGCCTGGCCCATGACATTTCTAAGCCTTAGATTCATGTCCTAGGACTACTGTGGGGATCCAAGGACATAACACAGAAATGACAGTCCCCAGCACCATGCTTGCTGTGTGGGAGTTATGTCTTTCTGGTTTTGTGTTACTCTTAAAATACATTAGAGAAAGTTTCAATTCTTCACTAAAACACTGAAGTATCCTTAGAAAAGATGCTTAGAAAAGATACTTAGTGTTTTAGTGAAGAGTTGAAACTTTACATAGAATAAAATGGGAGTTGTCACACTTTACAGAAAATAAAATTTGTACTTTATTGAAAGCAGGACGTTTCCTTTCTTCTTTTTCTTTTAAGAAATTAAGTTTTCTGCATGATTGCATTGATCTCCTCCTCACTTTGGATGGGTAGACAAAACTTCACTTAATGGTCTGAAAGCAGACATGCAAATAGCCTTGATTCAATCTCCTGCCGGAGCTGGCCCAGTGCCTAGGCAAAGTCAGTGGCTGCCTGCGTGTAATGTTGTGAGGAGCACTCTAAGGCACTGCCTCTTGCTCCTCACAGCAGCTCTCTCTTGAGCCTGCCAGGGCAGAGCTTCCTCCCACTTTGTCTGAACTCTACTCTGTCCATCCCAGCCTCCTCCTCTTAGCCTGTATAACAAAGGGGTTTTGTCTTCAGTGGCCCACTAAGAAAATGCTCTCTACCGAGGACATAAAAGAGAATTTGGTTTGAATATAGAAGGTAAAGATAGGTTCTTCCTTGCATTTCTCTTCTAATAGCCAACCAATAATAATGAGACTTATAATAGTGATAGAATTTAGATACAACTTGTCCTTAAAAGTCAATTTTAAATGTTTCCTCAGAAGAATAGTTTAAAGTCTAAGGATGACAAATATGTGTCATATATGTTCCTTTTCAGTCCATGGCAAGCCTTTGATTTGGGGATTCTTTCACCCTGTGTTGCTCCCCTGGATTCACAACCCTTTAGCCACATTTTCAGCAGCCACTACCCAATGATGAAACCTAACTCATCTGTGTTCTTAACTCTCTATCTAGAAGAGAAGGTTGAGCTGCCAGAGAGTTCAAGTGGACCTCATCCTTGTTGTACAGTGAGTAGACAGCTAAATGAACTTGAACCACAGTCTTTTTATTTCAGATGTTGATTTTTCTT